CGCCTCACCGTCCCACCGATGTTGGAAATTGGGCTATACACCAGGAAGCGGAGACAGGTCCGACATAGTCTTGATTAGGCGGCACGACCGGCCTTGTCGCTTAATCATTTCTCGACGCTACTGTGACAATTCGGTTGATTATGTTGTGCGTTTTGACGACGAAATGCACAAGCTACAAATGTTCCGATTTCCTACTGACACCAGAGCAATAGACGCCTTCGACTGTGGCATCGACTTCCCCAACATGAGGCATACATTCGACGGATTTCAGCATTGCTTGAAATCCCGAAAATTTCCACTTTCAACCAAAATGCGACTATTAATAGCATCGCCAAATCAACCAATGGCGATTTCTAATCGTCTCACATTGCAAACTTGTGTGTTATGCGGTTTCACAGAGGTCAGGAATTTGGTGGAGTAGTGCTCGGGTATTTTCACTTTCGCGAGGGTCTGCCAATGGTGTTTCAACGCACAGAATGTACACAAAATGACAAACAATTTGTAGCAAATATAAGTGTGGAATATTGGGATGCCACAGACCATCTACCACTTGATATCGCATCATTTCCTACAGAGCACAGCTGCGTAGATTCAGGCAGCCATCAAAGCACAATGCGAATGACACACTCCATCCCCTGTGAGGCTAGACCACGCGACTTCTCATCTTTGTGGAATAGCATCAGTGGAACACCAATTCCAATGCTTAACATACAAATGGCGATACACTAAATTGGTGACTGCCAGATTTCGTAAGAACGGTAATCGTCAAGGTGTCGCACCATCTACGAATTTGTGAAGTCATAAAGTGTGCTGAGAGAGCAGCGCCACCGACGGCACATCATCGCTTACATCTGATCCAAAATGCACCAGACATTTAAAGGGTGTGTTAGCAAAGGTGCGAGGAAAGACATTTGCGGGACTCCAGCAATGTGAAAGGAGGTTAGGAATAAGTCAGGCATAGTTTGAGGGAGTAAGACGTGAGAGGTTAATAATGCATTTATTGCCAACAGAAGAGGGATGACACAGCCAAATCAGGACACCATTTGCTCATCACTTCACTAGATAGTCTCCTCTCTACTAAATTGAAGATTCAAGAGTTAAGTGGGACTCGTGGTTATTGTATTTTTGCAGCTCCTTCCATAACACATGCTAATTCGTCAGTCGGTGATGCGTAGTCCTCCCAAATGCGAAGGCGTCTATTCATCGCCATTTGCTCAGCACTGCGATAGGCTTCAGCTCCACCAGCCGCCTCACTCACATGTGTCAGTTTCCAATGCAGGCACCACGCCAATCCTGCACGCAGCAGGGAGAGGGCAATATTGCCATTGGAATGCAGGACACTGCCCACGAAGCAGTTCTTGCGCATGCCTTCCAATATGACGGTAACGTCGCGTTGGAGAAGACGCGACTCCACAAAGAAGTGCGCTTCAAGAGCAAATGGCATGTAAACACGAGAACCCCTGTGCACCGTCGATTTCGGTGTGTTGATGCCCGAGAGGAGCAGCATGATATTGTAATAGGTAGGAGTAGAGTCCTCAGCAAGTGGGAAGAGCTGAATCTGCAGCATGTTGGCATCACGAACAGACTCGACCACACCGTGAAGGGCCTTTCCAGCATGCATGTCGTAAAAGGTCTTGGGGTGTTCAATTTTCCAGCAGATGTTACGCGATGCGCCATCCTCCGAGCCAGACCAAATGCCCTTGCGATCAGCCTTGGCTTTCTCCTCCAGCCCAATGAGAATTTGCAATGTTGGACTCTTTTTGATCACACTCTGACTCACGTTGCGTCGCACTCGAGCCAAACCCTCACGCACAAGGAGGTGGGCAAGGTTTTGAGCACCACAATTTCTTCCTAGATACACACAACCATACACACGATGGGAACCAATTTGGTTCTTCACGGTGTAGCACACTTCCCTCCCGACCACCTTGGAGCGCACGAATTCTCGCGCCATCCAGCCGAAGGGTTCGTCTGACTGGGCATCTGATGCAGCATTGTATCTCCTGGCCACCTTCGGGCAGATGATATTGGAGAGGACGACTGTGCGCGTAGCAGGTGGACCGTCCTCAGCACGATCGCGGATTACAATGGTGTTACCGGATGGAACCTGCAATATGCAATGACTTCATCTACCACCTCACATAGCAACGATTACTTGTTGAGAAGTGAGTAAGTCATGACACGACATGGTGGGACTTGTTAATTAGTTGAAAGACGCGGCTGTTCCGTCACGCAGCCTGAGGTCACAGTAGGCATATGACTCAAGTCGGGACGCTGAAACAGCCTCAGCTTGCAGGCCAAGGGATCCGTGATTTGCGCTCAGGAATATGAATGCCATCGCTCTGCTTCTACTTACGAGTGTTATGGAGACAATCGCGTCCGAGGCAAGGAATCACACACGCAACCACATTGAAGGGGCCTAGGAATGCTACTCAAACAAGCAGTCGATATGCAAAACGGAACTCGACTAATTAGGTGGCTTCTCACACCCCAATAGCGAACCGGTAGATGATGCACGGAGATCATCCATCCATGTCCAATATTGTCGTTGTGGTTACAAAGCCTTCTGCCTCAGCGAGTACCTCATCGGATTGCTCTCCCATACAATGGTGGCAAACAGCCGAAATGCACGAGGCATCAAATCGAATGAGGAGTAGCACTCAATTACTCCTTGACATGAGAAGCCTGGCTGTGTGCCTAAGTGTCAATCATCCTTCGGCTGTTGCAAAATGCACACCTAGTCTGTCAAACACAAAGATGCCCCTTTACTAGTACGTAGGCAGTGTGCGTGTCCACCTAGCTAGAATGAGCTGAGTGCTAGAGCAACGCAAGGTAGTATGAATAGCGTATTGAGAAGCGGCAAATGCATGACAAAGCATCGGGTTCACAATTTCAACTGTATAAGAAAGCGCTCTGTTAGACAAGTTTTCTAGCTTACCAGTTTCCCGATCCCGTGGAATATAGGTGTTTCGACCATGAGGTTACAGGGGTGACAACTGACACAAAGGCCTTGACACCAGTCGAGCCTCTATGTCGACTGATTCAAA